TACCTCCTCCCATGTCCAGAAGCCAACCCGTTGTGCCCCATGCCTGCTCCCGCCCCTGCCCCGAGTCACCATCACCCCACCTTCTCGCTGGCCGCCTCCAACGTCCCTTTCTCCTTCAGTTAATGTCAGCACAATGGGCCAGGACAACCCACTCAACCCAAGTCAGATCCTGTGCCTCCCCTGCTCCAAAGCCTCCAGTGATGTCCCTTCTCAGAATAAAAGCCCAAGTGCTCCCAAGGCCGGTGAGGCCTCCAGTCCTTGGCTTTTCAACCTTTCTAACCTCATCCCCCTCATACTCTGTTCCTCCCACGGACCCCAGGCTCAGGGCCCACCGCTCCCTGACCTCCTTCTTAGCTCTACTCCCAGTCACCTCGGGAGGCCCTCCCTGGCCCCGCTGTGAGAATGTCGGGGGCCTCTCTGCAGGCTTCTTCTGCCACCTGCCCTGCCTGATAGTTTCTCGTCAGCTCTCAGCACCCTCTGAGTCACCACACACGTACTTATTCGTCTTATTATCTGTCTTCCCCCTTTAGCATCTGCTCCGTGAAGTCCAGGACGGCCAAGCGCTAGGAACAGGGCCTGGTATGTAATGGCAGCTTCTGACTGGCTGATGGAACGCATGGTGGCCCTCCCAGCCTCACAGGGGTACGGCCAGGGCTGAATGACACAACCAGCCAACATGCCCTTGGCACATTCCTCCTACACCCTATATTCAGGCCTGCACCCGCAGCTCAAGACACCTCCTCCGAGAAGACCTCCAGAGCCTCCAACCTAGCCGGGTTCCTTGGCACACATCCTATTCCTCCCCCTCCAGCACTTAAAATAGCTGTACTACAACAGTTTTGTGCAATTCACTGTTTTCTCTCTTCCCTCTGCTAGAATATAAATGGCTCAGTCCCAGCTATGTCCGCAGGCCTGAACAGTGGTCAGGACAGCAAAGCACAGGTCTGTGAAGAAAAAGGGCTCCGAAGGCTGCCTGGGATCCATCCTGACACTACCTCTTAACAACCGTGTGACCTTGGGCAAGTCCCATACCTAAGCCCCCAACCCCTCAGTTTTCCCATCTCTAAAACTGGGATAAAAACAGGACTTCCTACAAAGACGGCTAGTAAGAATGAAAGGGAATGTCGAGGTAACATGTTCAGCATGGTTCACAGGGCCCAAATGCCTAATAAATGACTACAATCTATGCCTAGGGCTCAGTAAACATTTGTCAACGGAGTCAACAGAGAATGAAGGGGTCCAACGTGGGCAGGAGACGCCTGGGCCCCTTAGTTCACTGGCCTTCAAATCCATTAGAGAGCACAAACGGTTTTAGAGCAGTGGGTGTTGGCCAAATCAAAACCCACTCGCAATGTCACAATCAGTTGGGAGCCATCTGTCCGAAGTTCAGTTATAAGTAATAAGCAGAGGCGGCAGTCAGCTCTGGACCTAAGTCAACCCAAGTTCAAATCCTGCTTCTGCCATTTTCTACCTGTGGGACTTGAACAAAGTTTTAAAAATCTTCCTGGGCCTCAAGTACGGTCACAGCCCTGGCACCTTATGGGCTGTTCAGGGAGTAAGAGATCACGAACATAGAGGGCACCGTGCCTGACACGGGGTAAGCACTCAAGAAATGTTCTCCAAAAGTACAAGTTACTGCCCCAAAGTCAGCAGTGTTTCCTATAAAAATATAAGTAACAGGCACATCCCAAGTAAAGCTTATTATATCACATCTTGCTCATGTTTTGATATGTGTTCCTGAGTGAGAAAAACTCAGTAATAGTCTTTTTAAAGTCAGGTGCTGAAATACGGTGTAGCCCCTCTCAGTTACCCATGAAAACCTGCCTTATGCTGGTGCTGCTTTGGGGAAATCCACCAAAGCGCGGGGAACGGGGGTGTTCTATGCTGCTGAGAGTTCAGCAGCCACCAGAAGCAAGAACAAAGTTTAGAAGCAGAAAGAGGCTGTCTCAAATTTTTCAGAGCCACTGTGGAAGGTGCTAGGCCTCTAGTACCCAGAAACCTAGGCTTCCTGAGCCCTCTCTCACATCTCACATCCAAGCCATCAACACATCCTGGTGGCTTTATTTAACTTTTCAGGGAAACGGCACTTCCAGGAGGGAGGAGGAACCTGGGAACCCCAAGTGGTACCTCAGCAGTTTGGGAGCCTACTGCCACGTGGCAGTGCACCCACTGGGTAGCACTAGGCCCAGAGGGCAAAGGGCACAGAAGTGAGGTGGGGGCTCACCCTGGATGGTCCTCTTGAAGAAGGCTTTGCAGGCCTCACAGGACGCCACACCATAGTGGTAGCCGGAGGCCACATCCCCACAGACCAGGCAGAGGCGTTTGGGTAGGGAGCTGAGCACCAGCTTCCCACCACCCTGCTCGCCAGGCCCAGCCCCCTCCCCATCCTCCTCTTCCTTGTGGCCTGGGAGGCAGCGGGTGGGAGCTGGGCCAGGGGCCAGGGCCACGGGGGGCTCGGTCTCGGTCTCTGAGGAACCCTTTGGGCTGTCAGGGCTGGCTGGCTCTGCCTTGATGTAGAGAGGCTCAATGCCCACCACCTGGCTGGACATGGCGCTGGTCACCTGCAGGGAGAGACCTGTCCGGTCACAGGGAGACACTGGGATGGGGGACAGAGACACAGTGCCACTCTGGTTGCCCAACCCCGGGCCTAGGGCCAGGCTTCCAGGCTCATCGAGGGGGAGGGAAGGGGGGCAGAGTCCAAGGAATGGCTGCCCATGAAGAGGCCCCCCCCCAGCTGTTGCCATGGGAACAGAGTCTCCAAAGCCTCCAGGGCCAGTAACTGACGGCAAGGTCTCCCACTTGGGAACCTGGGGGAAGCCTGGAAACTCCCTACTCCCACCGGGGCCAGGGAGCAGGGTAACCTTAGTCCCCAGGTGACCTTCAACCCCAACTGGAATCCCCAGCCAGTAGCAAGATACCTCTCAATTTTCTCCAAATGTTGAGGACCTCGATGATTTCCCCCTCACCTGGGCATCCTCCATTCAAAAGCACAAACCAGACACACAAGGGCAGTGGTGGGCTCACACACTCGCACTCACCTGGGTCCTCAGGTGTCCTCACATGCTCACACATGCTCACTCTCTCCTGGGCACTTCCATGCTCTCACACATGGCTTTCCCCAAGCCCCAGCTCTCACTCATGCTCCCCGTTTGTCTTCACACACTCCACCCGAAGGGCACAAACCATAAACAAAGTCACACTCAAGGCTCACAATCACACACACTCACTCCCAAACACTCACCATGCCTCCACGCTGACACACACAGGCACAGACCCTTGTGGAAACACACTCAGAGCCTTTCACACCTGACACACCGCCCCTCCTGCCCCAGCATGCCAATCCCATGCCCACCGGAGGACACGGCCCCACCTCTTTACACCCCACCCCACCCCCCCAAACCCCGCCAGCACAATCACTCTTACACTCCAGCTGCCGCAGAATCCTCCACCTCAGGAGCGCCCCGCCCCCCAACCTGCGCACACCTCCGGAAAGTTGCCTAAAGTTGCTGCGCCTCCCCTTCCCCTCCGCCCTCGGGGGACCTCTATCAGGTTATCAGGAAGTAAATGGGGAGCGCCAAGGAGGAGGAAGTTCTCCCCTGCCGGTGCGATGACCTTTGACCCAGAGAGGAGGGTGGCTCAAGGCCCCTTCGAGCGCCCCCACGTGGTCTTCAAAGCCCCTTCTCCGACAGGGAACCCTCCCTATCTTCCACCCAGGCCCGCCCCTGGGACTTCGACTTGCTCCAGGTGCGGGATTGAACCCTGCCCTGGGACTGGATCCGAGGCCCAAGCCTGACCCTGGCCAGGACGTGAAGCCCGAGCCAGGACCGGCCCCTGTCCCAGGCCGACGCATTAAGACCTCAACACGGGATCCCGCCCGGACCCTAACCCCGTCTGGCCCTGGACCCGGTCCCAATCGTGACCCGGGCTCGTCCTGGAGCCGGACCCCGCCCGGAGCCCGCCCCCCGCCGCCCGCCGCCCGCCTCCCAGCCGCGCTCGCACATGGCCCCCGCGCCCCGCCCGTCCACCCCCCCCCCCCCCCCAGCGGCGCTCCCCTCCGCCCCCGGACCTGGGGCTCCGGCAGGGCGGGCGGGCAGGCATGGGGGCCGAGCGGCCCGGAGCGCCGGGGTGAGCCTGGGGCCGCGAACGGCCCCTCCTCCGCCGCCTCCTTGGGCCGCACCGCCCCGCCGCGCCGCGTCCCCTCACTCGGCGGCGCCGCCGGCGGCTTGTAGGACACAAAAGGACATCGCGGCCGCTTCCTACTCTGCTTCCTCCAGCTGACAGCGGGGGTGGGGCCGGCCGTGCGCATGCAAAGCAGGGGGCGGGTCTCGGCGCCCTATGCTAATCAGACAAGAGGGGCGGGCAGCGCCTGCGTGCCTGGACCAGCCGGGGCGGAGCCGGCAAAGCCAGGAGGCGGTCCTTCATGAAGGTCCCGCCCACCGCCGCCGAGCCGGAGCGGCGCACTTGTGAAGACGGCGGCCGAGGGGGCGGGGCCAGAGGAGACGTGGAGAGGCTCCGGGAGGGGGTTGGAACCAGGAGCGCTCTTACGCAACGAAGGAGGCGGGGCGCGCTATGCGCGAGAGAAGTGGGCGAGGTGGCTGGGTGGCCGCAATTGCGGGGCAGGGAGAAGACTTACATATGTAAATAAGAGGGCGGGACGAGCGGAGAGGTTAGTGTAACTGCATATGCATGAGGGGCGGGGCCTAGCATGCCCAAACTAGAAGGGAGGCGCTGCCCCTTTACCTTCTCGCCCTTCCCCCAAGATTACACCATCGGGGCACTTGGACCGCAGATCCAGTATCTCCACACAGCTGCTGGACCTGGGGTGGGAGACGCAGGCATAAAACATGCAAGAAGTCCTGGATTTCGAGTCCCGGGAAGGCGGAGCCAATAGGGCCTGGACGGAGAACGCTCAAGGTCACTGCGGTGACCGAGTGAAGGTCACGGGGAAAGGCGGGGCCCCGTGCGTCCTCCTCACGCGGGCAGCCACGCACTGACTCACCGACCGTGCACAGAGTCTTTTATTTATCTAGGACTCAAATTCCACGTGGACAGGGTCGGGCTTGGGTCTGGGGACGGGACAGGGGCCGGGAACTGGAGTCGGGCTGTCTGTCACTCGAGCCCGAGCCCGAGCCCGAGCCCGAGGCGGTGCTCTCAGTGCACCAAGAGGTGCAGCCTCTTGCTCTGGCGCCTCTTGAGCCCCTCGATGTATCGCTGCAGCTGCTTGGTCAGGAAGTGGTCCCGGCCAATACCTGACCGGTAGCCTGGAGGGCATAGCTCGGCTCAGGGCAGTGAGCAGGAGCATGGCCTCCCCAGCAGCGGTGCTGCACCTGAGATTTGAGGAAACGCGGGTGATCTGGGGTGGCAGGAGCGCCTGGCACTCGGGTCTGTGTTAGTCTGGGGAACTTTGGATCTCCAAGGTGCTGGCCCTGACAGTTTTTTTTTTTAAAGGTCAAGTCATACACCTGTACTCCAAACAGATGGGGGATGTGGAGGAGGATGAGAGAGTTAGGTGGAGCATGGGTGAGGGCAAGGTTAGAGTGTTGCAGGCCTGAACCAGGACAGTGGTAGCAGGCATCTCTGTGGACACCTCCTGGACCACCCACTCTAAGCCATTAGCCAGCATCCCTGCCTTATATTACAAGCAGGGCAAATGAGGGGACTTTGACCCAAATAATCCACTGTCCAGAGGTTCCTCACAGCACCGAGGGAGAGGGCCAAGTCCACACAAAGACTGTCATCCCCACTGGGGAGTGGAGAAACCGCTTTAGAAAAGGCACATCAGCTAGAGAGGCGCTGCACTAAGGCTGGAGCCCAGGCCCCTGAGGGTCACCTCATGCTCTCCCCACTGGGTGTCCCTGTGCCCAGTCCCCCAATTTTTTACTTTTGGTAGGGCTCCTGGAATTACTGGTGGGTGGTAAGGGAATCTGACAAGGCAGACACGTCCTGAAACCCCACTCCCAGAGGCCCAAGCCCTGCAAAATCCCTCAGGGTCTCTTGTGGGAGCTGGGGGAGGGGCTCACTCCGGAGGGCTTTGGTGAGGATTTCCAGAGCTTCATTCTCCATGAGTTCCATCAGAGGCAGTGGCAGCTGGAGAAGCAGCAAGAGGCTCAGATGTCCCAGAGACCCCAGCCCTGCCCCGAGCTGAAATGCCCCACCTGCCCCCTCTAGCCCCAAGACCCCCAACCAACCTGCCTGCCCTTCCGCTCTACAAACCACACTCACCCCTTCACCTCTGCAACCCCCACCTTGCCCATCCCACCCCACTCAAATCCCCAGTCTCTCTGGGTGCTAACCCTGTTCTGCTGCTCCATCCAGTAGGCTCGATGGGGTGTGTGCTTCGAGATACTGAGCGATGACTCTGAGGAAGACATTTCTGGGAGAAGAGAAAAAGAGAGATCAGTCATCTGCAGACCGCTGGGTCTTCCCTGGAGCAGAGGAAACAAAACACACGGGCAGGCTTGTGGTGGCAGGGGAGTGGCCTTCAGAGACCAGCTCCAGGTGCCACCTTATTGGAAAACAGTATGGGACAGTCGGTTACTACCCTGGGCTTTATTGTCCCACCCACCAAGGTGCCAGTTCTGACTACGCCATTAGGTGAGGCTTACAAGCAGTGACTGAAAATTTCTGACCCTCAAAGTTCTTCATTTGTCAAATGGGGTAATAAGAATAGAGCCCCTTATGGAGGTTGTGAAGTTTAAGGTGATCATGCAAAGGAAGCCCAGTGCCTGGCACACAGCAAGCACTCAATAGATGGCATTACAATATTGTTATCCGTTTTAATCCCCCGTTGTAGGGGCGGGGGGGGGGAGGGGAGTCCCAGACGGTGCCCAGCAAGAAGTAGGTACTTAAAATTGTAGCCAACGACTGAGAGAATGAAAGATAGGCACCTCCTCAACGACAGCAAATCCATACACAAGGAAATAACTCCCTCCTCTCAACCATCCCAGTGATTCCATTAAAAGCACGGGTCCTACGTCGCTGCCTTTGCGCATTTTCCACAGGTGTCTCTCGGACCTGGCGTGCCATGGCCACAGGACCTTGTACGACGCCTGCCCGGTAGGGGGCGCTCCAAGAATGTCTGGTTGATTTAAAGCGTAAAAGATGAACGAGGGCGCCCGTCCGGGGAAAGGGAACCCTTGGAAACGGATCCTACAGCTTCTCCCCCCCCCCCCACCCTCCCCATTTCACAGCAACAGATATTGAGGTCCTGGCCAGCCCCCTGCCCTGTGGATACCCACAGCCCTGTGAGGCCACACTGACCGGTGTCGGTCACGGAATCGACGTCCTCCCCTAAACGGCTTCCCAGGGAGCTGGCCCGACGCAGCTCCAGCTCCAACAAGGAGGACTCGTTCAGATCCTCCTGTTTGAAACTGCCCTTGTCCTCTCCGTCATCCCTTTCTTCCCAACCACCGTCTGAGTCGCGGCCGGCCTTCTGGTTGTACCACCGGCGGGACTTGAGGCTGATGCCACCGCCCTCCATGTCTGAGTTCTCGCCGACACTGGACCGCGGCACATTCAGCTTCGGCTGCGACAGCGTGGACCTGGTCCACAGATTCCGGATGTCGTTGTCTGGGCTCGACTTGTCTGAGCCATGGCTGCCCAAAGACGCCTGTGGGCCACATACAACGAGGGAAGCCAAGGGCCGCGGGGAGTTGGGAAGGAGAGGAAGAGCAGGCTGGAGTCGTCGGCTCGGCTCAGGGCTCGTTGGGAGCTGCCCCGGGGCCAAGGGTGAGGGAGAGAATAGCCAAGGACCCAGGCTGGACCCAGGCTGGGGGCTCCCAGGGGGAGGGGGCCCGGGAAGAGTTCTTACTTTGAAAGGCTTTTCCTCCATGGTTCTGCCCCAACGGACCCAGTCGCCACAGGCCTCGGGGCGAGGAGCAAGGGGTCACGCTCCAGGAGCGGGGAGGGGCAGATCCCGTTCCCGAATGGTGCTGCCGGTCTCGCGCGGGAGAGTTCAATCTACAGCCCCCCACGCTAGATGCCATTCTCTCTCCCCCGTCCCCACCGCCCCATATCTGTGCTGAGGTTGGAGACGCACAGAACACCCTGGCACATTCCCGATTCCGGACCGTACCCGGTAGCCTCCCGGCAGAGACACGGGCCCAAGCGTGGCCCTTTCGGGTGCAGGCGTGGGGAGGAGGGGCTCGGCCCGGGGGTCACAGGAAGCCTGGCTTGCCCCGGGGGTGGCCCGACGCAAGCACTCCCACACCCACTCGCGTCCCCGGAGCGCGCACGCCCGCAGCGGTGCAAACTGTTTCCGTTTATTGATGCAGGCTTTTGAGGCACAGTCGTGAGGTGTGGTGAGGGACGGGCCCAGCTGGGACAGCGAGACAGAAAGCCTTGGGGGGGGGGTGTCTGCAAATGGATGAAGTGAGGAGAGGGCCAGCAGTGGGGGTGGCAACCCGTAGCCTCCTCCGCAGGCCTCGGTCCGGTCGAGAGAGGCCTCTTTGGTCAAACAAGCAGAGCATGCCGGGGAGAGCGCAAGAACTAAGCCCTTTGAGAGGCCCGGGCCCGGGGTCCCGCCCCTACACCGGCACGCCTTTTTCCCGCGGGCGCCCGGGGCCCCGCGGCCGCGCGGGCTTCCGGGGAGGGTTAGGGGGCCGGCGGCGACCCCGTGGCGCGCGGGGAAGCGCGCAGCCGCGCTCGCTCTGCGTGTCGGAGGACTCGTCGATGAAGGCCAGGTTCTCGCTGGGGTAATCCAGCGCGGAGGCCGTGGGCGGGGTGGACGGGGAGGACGGGGAGGGCGGCTCGGCCTTTACGGGGAGCGGGGACGGGGGCCTGCCGGCAGGCTGCGCAGCACACGGCGGCGGCGGCAGGAGTGGCCGATCCTTCTCCAGCGGCGGTGGTGCCGTGGGCCCGACTCGCTGGGTCACCCGCGCCGTCACCGTGCCGGTCCAGCTGGCGGCCTGCGCCGTGAGGCCGCCCATCTGCGCGAGGAGTAAAGGCAGTCCTCGACCGCGGGTCCTCGACCGCCTCGGCAACCCCGGGAACCTACCCCTTCGCCAATCAGGCACGGCCCCCCTTTTCCTCCTGGTTCTCCGGTCTCAGCCCGCCAGAGCCGGGAAAGACTCATCACCCAGCTACACACTCTCCTCTCCTCCGTCCGAACCTAAGAGTCCTCTTCTCTAGGAGCTTTTCTAGAAAGCCCCGGTTTTATTTCAGCTATCCTTCCTGTGCCCCCTGGAGACCTTTCCGCCCCTCTCGAGCTCTTCGGCCGGCGCGACCAGTAGGGTAACACAACGCAGGTGGCCCAGTTAAATGTGAATTTCAGATAAACAACAAATAAAATTTTAATATATGCATCTTCCTCCCCGCCAACATTTGGGACATAGTTACACTAAAATATTATTTGCTATTTATCTGAAAGTCACATTTAACTGGGCTTCCTGCTTTTTTTTGTTTGTTTGTTTTGGTTTTCTCTAAATCTCGAAGCCCTATCCATGAGAGCAGAGATGGAGTCATCAGCAAACCGGTCTAAGTTTAACCATTTGTCCCCGGGGCAGGTGCACATTGTGGGGGGCACTCTGTCCCTGCCTTGAGAAGCCCACACCCTGGAAGGGAGGCAGGCTGATCAACTCGCTGCTAGGGTAGAGCGTGTCAAGGGCAGCGCTGACCCAGGGGCGCCTACCTCTGCCCGAGTGCGGCGGGACACTACTCGCAGCCAGTTCCCGATGGTGGTGAGTACTGAGGCGAAGTAGGCCAGGCCGAGCAGGATCCAGAACCACACCAGCGGCTGGTAGGCTGCGTTGCCCTGGTTGGGGCTGGCGCCTGGGATACCACCGGGGAGGCCAGAAAGACGTTGATTTTGGAGCAGGTTTCAAGCCTGTGAGCTCCTGGTTCACTGCCCCTCTTCTCAGCTCAGTGAGAGGATCCGCCTCCCCAGGGCAATCAAAGAGTGTGTGCTAGAGTGTGTGTGAATGCATGCAAGACGACTGTGCATGACTTGAAGGTGTGCCAATAAAAATATGCACGTGAGTGTGCTCACGCGCAAAAATGTGAGCATATGGGAGGGGTGCACATATATAAGAATGTGACGTGTGAGGGGTGCACTTAATCTATGTGTGAGCATGCATCGGGGTGCAGGCATGCAAGAATGTAAGGGCACATGAGGTGTTGCATCCGTGCAAAAACGTGAAGGTGCATTCGGTGAGGGCATGTAGGGTTTGGAGCAAGTGCCTGCGAGCGCACACACACCACAAGGAATTTGGAGGGAGACGCAAGAGTGCAGGGCCCCTGGGCATGAATAAAGTGGATAGGGAAGTGCAGCGAAAGAAAGGTGGCCTCACCGGCCACATAGTCCCCGAAGCCCACCGTGGTGAGCGTCACTACGACGAAGTAGATGGCCTCCAGCTTGCTCCAGCCCTCCACGTAGCAGAACACGAACGTGGGCGTGAGGACAAAGAGCAGGCAGCCGATCAGCAGGAAGAGCACCGCCGATAGTATTCGCACCAGCCCCGGTGGCACATGCCACTTCTGCAGGGAGGGGCAAGGGCAGGAAGGACCCAAGGCGTCGCCAAAACCTCCAGTCACACCCCCAACACACACCGCCTCCTCTGGGATCCGGTGCGCGAGGCTCCCACGACCTCCAGGTCCGCGCTCTCGTGCGGGGCGGGGACGTAGGGAAGGGTAACCCGAGCTCAACGCGAGGGCGCGCAGGGCAAGGAGCAGCTCACCAGGAAGATGGCTTCGATGTGACCGATGCCGCGGCGCAGAGAGGAGCCCAGCCGGTCCCCGACCCCTGCCAGCAGGATCCCGAACAGCGGGATCCCCACCAGCGCATAAAAGATGCAGAAGAGGCGCCCGGCATCTGTGCGCAGGGCCGCGTTGCCATAGCCTGGGCAGAGGGGCCGTGCAGGAAGTCTAGGGGCTGCCTGGCCCCCCACTTCCTCCCTCTGCACCTTCCCCCAGGAGAAAGCCCAGCGGCCCCTTGCCCCCCTCCAGGTGCCCAGTCCCCTCCCCCACCGATGGTGGTGATGATGGTGCCTGAGAAAAAGAAGGCGCTGCCCAGGTCCCAGGCTGAGTGGTTGCTGTTACTGGTTGAGTTGATGTCAGGGTCCGCACCCCCTCCCAGGGCATCAGCCACATCCTGCAGGACAAGGCGCAGAAGGAGGAACCTCAGCCCTTGCCTACCGTCCTGGCCAAGCCCCTGGCCCTCCAGGCTCCAGAGTGGTATCCTTCCTCCAGCTCCCAGCGCTCCCCCTCCCTCCGGTCTTCCTGAGGGCTGTCCCTCAGAGTAGACATTGCAAATTGGGTGGCCCAATTTTGTTTGACCTCCACATTGTTTTAGAAACATTTTAGTTGGGACGCCTGGATAGCTCAGTCGGTTAAATGTGGGACCCTTGATTTCGGCTCAGGTCAGGATCTCAGGGTCCTGAGACTGTGCCCCAGGTTGAGCTCACGCTCAGCGGGGGAGTCTGCTTGGGATTCTCTCTCTCCCACTCCCTCTGCCCCTTCCCCCCACCACCCTTCTCTTGGCGAGTGTGTGTTAGAGTGCTCTTTCTTTAAATCAATCAATCAATCAATCAATCAATCTTAAAAAAAAAAAAAGATTTTAGTTATTTGCCCCTTAATTTCACACAAAAGATTTCAAGTTTACAGAGGTCAGGAGCACAGACCTGGACCAGACTGCCTGGGTTCAAATATCGATGCTGTGTGACCCTGGGGCAAGTTAACTCTCTGTGCCTCAGTTTCTGCCTCTATCAGGTTTGGATGATGATGCTAACGCCTACCTCAGACAGTTGTGCAGAGTTAAAGTAAGCCCTGTGTGTTAAGTTAGTCCAAGGAGTGATCATGCCCAGTGATTCCCAGCTTTCCACAGACCCCCCCCCCCCAATCCCATTGGCCCTAGGAAAGCTGAGTTTTGAGTTCCTTGCCTTGGAAAATCTGATGGAAGTTAGGGACCCTTTCTCCAGGAAGGTTCATATACCATCAAATTTTGTACCCAATATTGGAAGGCTGGTAGACACACAAACCCCCGCCCACCCTGTAGAAGTCCAAGCTGAACCCTGTGCTACATAGTAGGTGCTCAATAAATAAGATTAAATTAATGAAATGGCCATGTGTCTGCCCCTCTTGCCACCTCGCAGTCCTTCCAAGACAGTCTGTGTTTTGAGAGTGTCTGCCTTAAGTGACAGTGGTCAGAGCATAATGAGGGGGGCAGAGGGGCCCTTCCCCAAGGAGCACAGAGCCAAGGCACAAAGGCAGTGGGGGAGATCAAAAACCACATTCTTTCTCTCTGAATGCAATCCTCATTAGCAAGACCCATTCCAAATTAATCCTCCTAAAGTGACTGCCCCAAATCCGCCATAGCTCCCTGCTGTCACAGCATAGAGTCCAAACTCCCAGCCCAGCATCTCAGCCCCTTTTCAATCTAGTCCCCACCTCCCTTTCCCCAGCCTTCTCTCCTGGGACCCCCATTTGAAATCCAAGTTGCAGTGACCTTACCCCCAGATTTTCTGAGATGATCCCATTTCCTGTAATAGTAATTCTTAAATGAAGCCAAGAAGTGAAATGTATGATTAAAGTGATTTAAATTTTATTTTGCAAGACTTTTCCAATAAATTCACTACCTAGGGGGAAAAAAAATCTCTTGTCATCCTGTGTGTTCTAATTTTTGCTTCGAATGACTAGGCATCTGCTAAATCCGAGTTCTGCAAAACACTCTGAGCTTTCCAACTTCCACGCCTTTGCCCATGCTGTTCCTCGGCCTGCAGGTCTCTTGCAAACCAATCACACATCTCTAAATTCTACATGGCTCACCTGCCTCATTTCAATTACCTGCTCCTCCCATAGCCCCTCCTCCCCATCTCCCTCCTTGCCCCCAGCACCTAGCTTGGAGCCCAGCATACAACAGGTGTTTAAGAAGGAAGCAAAGAAAGCTCTCTTTCCACTGAATCCTACAGTGATCTGTCCATGGATCTGTCTCCTCATCCCAAAGTGACAGCCTCTAGGGTAGAGCCTGCCTCTGTTCCACCCCCATAGCAATTTCCCTGCTCACCCTACGGTGTATTAGCACAGCACCTAGCACATAGTAGGTGCATAATTGCTGCAGGACTGCCTAGTTGTGGAAGAGAAAGCAGCTGTCGCCCACACTTCTAATTTCTGCCCTTCCTTTTCTTCTTTTTTTATCCAGGAAAAAAGCATTTACATCGTGAAGATAAAATAGGTCAGACTCCCTCCCTCCCCTGCTCTGCCCTGTGGTTTGGCCAGACACATTCTCCTGCCCAGGCCTCTCTGAGCCTCACTGGGCATTCTGGAAGTGTCAGAGCCAATGTCAAGCCGCCTGTGTCCCGGCCCCACCCCATCCTCATCTCTCCTCCTGGCCCTGCCACCTTGGGAATCAGCTGGAACACTGAGGCCTCCACGCCCATGGCTCCTCCCTCCAAAATAACAGGCAGGGAAGGAGGGGTACTCTTCAATAAAGTAATAAACATCAATTTATTAAAGTTAATCCTTGGGGTTTTTATATGATAGTGACTCAGAAATCACAGAAGCAACAAAAGTGCTTACCTGATAGTACCCCCAGGAGGCTGAAGCCCAGCACTTTCTTTAGTCATTGAACCAAAGTTGAACCCACCCCTTCCTCTGGCCTCTTCATCATAAGCATGTGTCCTGAGGAGAAGGGCTGCTTAGCCTGGTATCCATGGTGGTAGGCTTAGGGGATCCTGGAACCCTCTGAATGTGTCCCTCTGACACCCTCTGAAACCACCAGGATATAAGTGCATTTTCCCAGGGGGTAGGGGAGTGTTCACAGTGTTCTTGGGCATCTCCAAGGCATCTGTGACTCCAAAGAAGTAGAGAAACCAGTGTAGGGTTGCCAGTTTCAGTAAATAAAAATACTGCATGGGACATATTTATTTTTAAAAAGTATTCGTTGTTTGGTGGCTAAAATTCACAATTATCCAGGCGCCCTGGATTTCATCCGGCAACTCGGAACCAGTGCGTTATGCCTGCAAAATGTAACATATTTCATGTGCTCCAGCCATGTATTCATTTCTTCCTTCACTCGTTCCTTCACTCAACCACCATCACACTGAAGGAGACAGCTCAGGAGCTCAGTGCAAGGCCAGGAAAAGCAAAGCAGACAAATGCCCCCAAGGCCGCCATATTGAAAACAGAGACCTGGATCCCAGCCTCTGCCCTGCACCCCTCAACTGCACCCTGCCCTCCGGGTGCCCGTCTGGAGGCGGCAACCCAGCGCAGGGCCCCACTGGCATGCAGCTACTGTTTTTTGGGGGGGGTCATGGGTGACTGTTGAAGGGGCTCCTGCCCACCCACGCACCTTGATGAAGAGCCCCAGGTCCTGGTCGCTCACACATGGATGGGCCCTCAGGAACTTCTCTCGGACCTCCCCCAGCTCCCTCTGGGCCTGCTGCTCGTGGGGCTGCTCCAGGGCCTGGAACACCAGGGCACCGGATACCAGGTAGAGCAGGACCAGCGCCAGCAGGGCCAGTAGGGTGGTGCTGCGCATGGCGCGCCCAGGGGCCCGGCCAATTCCGCTGCCCGCCTGGGGAGGCCGGGCAGGGGGCTCCTGGGGAGCTGCGGTCACTGTGGGCAGAACCAGGGATGCTGGGATCAATAACTTAGCCCGCCACCCCTCCACCCTCCTCCTCCAACCCCCACACACCCAAAGGTCCTTGGAGCCCCCAGCCCTACAGCCCATAGATGTCCTCTCTTCACATCCCTCTGCCAGGACACTTGGTACCAGGGCACACCCAGTCCCCCGACTTCGGTCCTTCCCCTTACCTCCATTGCCCGGCCCTCAGCCCCTGTCCGGGGACTCCAGGACGGGAGAAGAGAAGAGGACACCGGGAAGGGAAAGGAAGGAGAGTGGAAGGGGGAAAGAGAGACTGAGCTTGCTGAGGGACCGGCAGGCCGAGCGAGAAAACGCCGGGGGCCTGGAGGGGGCGTGAGGAACCGGCTTCCAAGCAGGAGGCTGAGGGGGCGCTGAGGCGCGCGAAGGGGAAGCGGGAGGAGAGGCCGAACCGCGCAGGGCGGGGACGGGGATGGCGGGTCCCGGCTCCTCCGCTGCGGCTGCGGCAGCATCTTCGCGCTTCTCTCCCCCCTCCCGCCTCTCCCCGCTCCGCCGCGACCCGCGAGGGGCCGGGCGGGGAGCGTCCCGGGTCTCCCAGCGCCCCGCCGGGCTTTCGAGGAACCCAGGGGCGGGCCCCGGTCGCCGCGCAGAGGCGAGGCCGGGCTGGGGGGAGGGAGGGTGCCCGGTTCCGGGAAGAAACGGGGCGGGAGCGACCAGGGCCGGCCCCGGGGCAGCATCCTCCCGGACAGCCGTCAGCACCCCCCGGGGACAGCGGGCGGCGGCGCCCACGCGCACACACGCGGGCACAAAGACCCGCGCGCCCACGCTCCGCCCTGCGGCTCCCGCCAGCCCCGCTGCCCAGGCTGCACGGACACACTCCACCTGCACACTCCCCAGACTCGCGAGCACACCCGGACCCCCCGGGGCGTGCGCGCCGGGCCGAGGCACCCCAGAGGTCCACGCGCACGTGTGCACACACTCCCGTCCACACACCCAGGCCGCCGGGCCACCGCGCAGCGCCCGCCACCCAGACACACTGCACACCCGCCGTTCGCTCCCACCGCCTCCCGAGAGTCTTCAACGCAGACGCCTGGGAGCGTGCGGGCGGCTGGACGCGCGGCCGCACGGCTCCCGGAGGCGCCCACGCGCGGGGAGGTGCGCGCCCCGCCCGGCCGCTCGCCCCCTGCGCACCCCTCCCTGCCAGGGAGTCCCGCCCGCGCCCCGCACTCCCTCCCGCGTCAGCCCCGCACTCACTGTCGGCCCCGCTGCGGCTGCGGCTGCGGCTGCGGCCCGGGCTCCCGCGCGGCCTCGCGGGTGCCGGCTGGGCCGCGGAGGCGGCGGCGGCGGCGGCGGCAGGGGCGGAGCGGGCGGCCTCCGGGGCTGGGACCCCCCTCCCGCCGCCAGAAGCCCCCCTCCTTCCAAGCTTAACCCCTCCAGCGCCGCGCCTCCCTCCGTGCCGCGCCCTCGCCGCCGGCGCCGTGCCCCGCAGCCCCTTACCTGCGGCCGCCCAGCCCCCCAATTCCGGCCGGTCTCTGCAGGTGAGGGGCAGAGGAGCCCGAGACGGGTCGCCGTTGGGTCCGGCCCGGAGTCTCAGACTGGAGTCCTGGTACTGCCCCGCCGGCCATCCAGTGTGGCCAGCGGCACGGCCCTGGCCTTGACATCTGCCGGCTCACCTCTCCGGACAGGCGCCACGTTAATCTCCCAGCATCTCCCAGGCCCACTACGGATCGGAAGGGCCCTCAGCTCCCCGCCCCTGGGGACAGCCTGGCCCATGGGCTCAGCACTCCTGAGGGAGGCGGCCCCGCGGGACAAAGGGGTGGGCGATCCACTGAAACAAGCTGAAATTGCTGAGGTAGGGTTGGGACCCAGTTCTGGAAAGTCATGCCGTGGCACCTCCTGCCCCTACTCCCGCCCCATCCCTTGGTCCTTACCCCCGTGGCCATCCCAGCATGGAACGCGAGCCAGCACTCCCCCACAGTCTGAGCAGCCGGGGCTCTGGCAGGTCTTGGAGCTGCTCCCCTCTGTGTTCCCACCCACTTCTTTAAACCCTGATCTCTGCAAAAATCCTCTGGCCTGGGGTCTTCAGCCCTCACAGTGGGTGGCTTTACGCCTGGGTTCTAAGGCGGACCACCCCCTACCAGTAGAGGGCGCAGATGTGTTCTCAAGCTCTCCAGAGCCTCCCAGTCCCTACTTACAGAAAAGGGATGATTAATTATCACCTCGGAGTGCTGTTCTGAGCATTAAGGAGGTCAGTATTTGTAAATGCTCAAAACGGAGGCTGGCACACACAATAAAGTGCCCTACAAACGTTAGCAATTTTCCTTTCAACAAATAGTGACTGTTCAGCTTCAAGCTGATTCTCAGTCTCAGATGCCCTCCCTTGGGAGGCCCCGAAGGCCTGGTGCCCAGGAGCATCCCAAGTGAAGAGTTTCAAGGCAGGATCAGTGGTAGGCTCCAGGAACTCCGAGGAGCTGTGACGTCCGGGTACATGGACAGGAGAGAGACCCTCTGATAAATGACTCCCAGCCACAGGTCAGATGACAGCCCTACCAAGGCTGTGGCAGCAGCAGGCAGCGACTGTAGCTTTAGGGGCAGCCAGAGAAGGGGCCCTCAGGGCCACCAGGCAGACTATGTGGGGGCAGCCCAACTATCTGGCCAAATGCACACCTGGTGGGGAGGTGGGGGCTACTCAGTCACAGGCCAACTCCTCCACGGCCCTGGACGCCAGGTTGGGAAGGATGACAGGGGAACAGGGTTTCCAGAAATCCCAACCCGGCAAGGGGAACAGGCATAAGAGACCCATAATCATGGTGCCACAGGACCCCGGAGGGGGGGGACATGGCTCCCTGATCTGGAGATAAACGGCTTCATAAAGGAAGCAGGTTTTGAGGAGAGAGTAGGCATTTTTCAAGTGAGGAGGTGACTGGGGTAGAAACTGCCTTTTCTGGCCTCCTTGCCCGTCAGGCTGCAGGCTCCCTCCCTCTCCTGGCCCATCAGCCTGCGTCAGGTAAGTGACCCCTGCCCAGCCCAGCCACGCCTTTGGAGGACCTGGGTCTCGTCAGCCCTCAGCTGTATAGGCCGTGGTGCAAGGAACACAAAGCCGACAACTGACAGACAGTGAACTGATGAGGGGCACAGAGACTGTTTATTGAGGGGCAGGTGCAGGAGAGGTAGCCGGCTCCGGTGCAGAAGTGGAGGCGGCAGGTCATGCCAAGGTGCTGCGGGCATCTGGCAGCCAGGGCCATGCCCCCCATCCTAGGGGACAGCATAAGCTCACTATGACAGGAGTAGCAAGGAGCCGGCCAGGGGAAGAGGTGGCCACAGCCTCCCATGATCCTGGGCAAGAAGCGGCAAATGTACTTGGCACAGGGGCCTGGGATTGGAGGACTGGGGTCTGGGTGTTCAAGGGGGAGAATAAGAGGGGATCACGTCTGTGGAGTGGAGTAGAGACTGTGGTGGTGGCCACCTGGTCCCAGCACCTGGGAGAAGAGCAGAGGAGTGGTCCGTGTCTGGCTGCCCCCGCACCAGCCTGGCTCCCGCCCGATGGCGCCGTACCAGCTGCCAGAGCCTAGACTGCCCGACATGCTGCAGGCAGAGAAACAAGGATCGGTCCCAAGGCAGGGACCAGGGCCAGATCCACAAGAGTCAGGGTGGGGAGAGAGGCTTAGCACAAGGCCCAGGGCCCCAGCTTTCCAGCCCCCAGGGCCTGAACCCTCGAGACTGTGGCAAACTGCATCTTGAGGTGGAAACCAGAGGGGACCTCACCCTGTACAGACAGGAAACAGGGGCAGGGCAGGGGTGGGGCCGAGGGGGAAAGTGCCAGGACCAGGGTCTAGATCCCCATGGCTCCATGGAGCGAGCTGGGAGCCCGCAGGACCTGAGGCAGGGCCAGGGCTCCTACCTGGTGCTCTCGCTACGGCCGTGCTCCCAGGAGCAGCCCTCGTCCTCACAGTGCCCGGCCCGGTCAAAGAAGTAGGAACGGGCGCCAAAGACCTGCCCATTGAGGATGCGGCTGGTGCTCTGGGGGAGGAAACCACCATCGTGCTTTCTCCCGCCCCACCACTGGCTTCCCACAGCCCCGCCAGACCCCGGCCCGGGGATTCCCGGCATCCACCCGTCTCCGCTGGCCCTCACCAGGTCCTGTGGGGGCCGGTGCACCCGGAAAAAGCCCACCAGCAGGGTGGTAGGCAGCAGCTCCCACACAAAGAGGATGAGGCCAAACACCAGGTAGCCTTTGTTCCCCAGGTCATTCACCAGGTCCGCCTGTGGGAAGGCAGGGTTTGCATAATCCACAACTGTGCCGGGGGGGGGGAAAGGGGGGACCCAGACAGAGTCAAGGCCAACTAGGGTCCAAGAGCCATGGCTACTAAGGAGGAAGCCGAGGTGCTGAATGCCCACCTGGTCAGAGACGTTGTACCAGTCATAATCGAAGGCATCCAGCCGGCTCCGGGGAGCCAAGGCCAGGGCCGCCAGGTTGTAGCAGGCCCGGCTGGCGTAGAGCAGGACCATGGCGCCACCCATCGCAGCTGCCTGGCACACACTGGTCCCCTGGCACAGATGACAATAGAGGACCCTCAGGGAGGAGAAGCTCCAGCTCCCTCTCTACCCGGAAGATCACTGCCCAGAGACCCCAAGGGACACCTGGGGATCAGGGCTTGTGGCCCTACCTTGGCCTCCAGGTAGATGCTGGTGGAGGGCGCCCGCCGGGCGACCAGGCAGAGGCAGGCAGCAAGAGAGAGTGCGCAGATAACAAAGAGGGAGTCGCTCACCAGGACTCGCACCAGCAGGAGGGCCCAGGGCTGTGCCCGGCGCCGGCGCGACAGCACAGCGCACAGCACGTTCACCAGCAGAAAGAGCAGCGAGGCCCCCACGAAGGCCCCTCGGACAGCCAGCCTGCAGCCCACAGCACAGTCAGCCCCAGACAACCATTGCTGGCACTCCCTGACCCCCCAAATGTCCCCAGGAGACCCCAATGTCAATCAGAACCAATCCAGACCAATCCAGTCTGAACCCCGGCTCTCCAGTTTTACAGATGGGGAAACCGAGGCCCACAGAGGTCAGATGGTGACTGACAGCTATAATACAGTGGAAAGAACACAAGACTGAGAGAGACCTGGGGTGTGCCTGGGTGGCTCAGTTGGTTGTCTGCCTTTGGATGGAGTCATGATCCCAGGCTCCCTGCTCAGCAGGGAGTCTGCTTCTCTCTCTTTCTCTGCCCCTCATCCCCACTTGTGCACTCTCTCTCTCAAATAAATAAAATCGAAAGAAAGAAAGAAAGAAAGAAAGAAAGAAAGAAAGAAAGAAAGAAAGAAAGAAAGAAAGGAAAGAAAGAAAGGAAAGAAAGGAAAGAAAGGAAAGAAAGGAAAGAAAGGAAAGAAAGGAAAGAAAGAAAGAAAGAAAGAAAGAAAGAAAGAAAGGCAAACAAACCTGGGTGTAAGCCCTGGCTCTGTCTTCTGCCAGATCTATGACCTTGAACATGTGGCTTTACCTTGCTGGGCCTCAGTTTCTTCATCTCTCAGATGGGGATAGTAACAGCCTCACAGATAAGTTGTAAAAATGTTTGTGAAAGCTCTTAATAAACTGTAAGACGTTATATAAATGACCAGCTTATCACCACCCAAGGTCAGCCAGAAGAGCAGTCTGGGGCTTCCGAGGGCTGGGCCCTCCAGCTCCTCTTCCATCGTGGATGACGCTGGGACCCTCTCCCTTCACACTAGCATGTCTGTTTCTAGCAACGCTGCCCTTCACCAGTGCAGTGCCTTTGCTGAGCCGTCTGCACCACGTGCCTAACTTTTCATGGCCCTTTTGCAAACATTTGCTAAGTTGTCCCCGCCTAGGCACTGCACAGGGTTGGCAAGAAATGGACGCCAGGCGGCTCCCTGCCCCTGGCCTGGGGGGTATGCCCATATGTCCCGTGTACTTACAAGCCTCGGCTCATCTCCGGCCGGCGCTTCGCCTTGGCCTTGAACACAACCTGGGAGCAGAGATGCCCATCATTCCTTTGGGCCTCTGGGCTTGCCACCCCATAGCCCACCCCACCCATTACCATGGTTACCTGGGCAAAGTAGAGGTTCATAAGTGTCAGTGTGAAGAACTGCAGGCAGACAGGGCAGCAGTAGAGAAGCCAAAAGGGCAGGGGTCCCAGACGGTTGGCTCGGGGGGTATCTCGGAAGTAGAAGGAGAAGAGGGTGGTGCGCAAGGCAGCCCAGAGCAGACAGAGTGCCAGGAACACTGTCTGATAGCTGAGACGCTTGTGCCCATATAGGAGCACCAGCCAGAGTTGGGCATATACGGAGAAGAAGAGCAGGGCATACAGAGTGGTGTAGGCCGCAGTCAGCCCCAGGGTCACGGCAGGAGGCAGCGCAGGGACCAGCCCAGCAGCAGGCACCAGGCCAGACAGGTTACTCTCCATGTCAGGGAGGCCTGAATCCCAGAGAAAGAGATGGAGGGCTGGCAGGGGGCCAGGGAAATAAATATGGAGGGATGGGAGTTGCAGGGTGCAGCGACAGAGATGGGGAGCTCAGGAGGGAAGAAGCTGCAGCTGGCCAGGCCCTTCCCCCTCAACAGAGGGACCCTGCCCTTGCAGCGGGACACAGGCAGCCTGGGGCCTGGGCCCCTCACTCTGGGAAGTGGAAGGACAGACCCTGTGGAGGGCAGAGGCGGGAAGTGGGCAGGGTCTCCTCCCTGGGCCAGCCCCAGAGCCAGGGCGAGGGGGTGCAGAGAATGAAGGACAGGGGTCCCTGGCCTTGCTTGTTCGAGTCGTCCCGGCTGGAGGGGGAGAGCCGGCAGATACCCTTCCGCTAAAGGCAGCGCCCGCTGCCGGGCACGCTCAACGCCCAGCTCTCCCCCTCCCCAAACTGGGGGTCTCTCTCCCTTCCAATAATCCGGATTGGGGATGGCCTCTGCCTCCTGTCCTCGGAATTCCGGACGCTGCCCCCACCCCACCCCCCACTTCATCCACTCTCCAGCCTCGGAGGGTGCGGGAGGAGGCCGACGCCGGGTCCTCAGGACGCCGCTGGGGGAGCCGGCTCTGGTCGCTGCGACCCGGGGCTCCGGCTCCCCAGCTCCCCGGCTCCCGCTGCTCCGCCCCCTCCTGCGCCTGCGCCTGCGCCTGCGTCTGCGCGGGCGCCGTTCGCTACGCTAAATGCGCAGGGTCTGGCCCCGCCAGCCCCGCAGCCCCGCGCCGCGCCGCCTACGGGTGCCACGGGTTACTAGAGGCAGCGGGAGGCCGAGACGCTGGGGCGGAACAGCAATCCGGCGGGCGCCCGGGTGGGCCGTGCCCGGAGCCACCTGCCCTCGTTTGTTTGGGAGGCAGCCAGTTCCCGTGCTTTTCTTCCCCATCCCCAAATCGAGATCGCGCCGCCCGCCCGGGGGGCGGCAACAACTTCCCCTCACCGGCTCTCCGAAGGAAACTTCCGCCCACAGCTAAGATGGCCCCCGGGCCCCGCCCCCTGGGCTTAACCCTCAGGGCCCAGCAGTCCCGGGGAGGCACGCCCGCCCCTCTCCCTGGCGGGCCGCGGTTCCCGCTCACCTGGTCGGCAGCCTGCTCGGCGCGAAGCCTTAGCGAGTCCTACGGCCACCCTCAACGGGGCCCCCTCTCCTGCGCCGGGGCAGTCATCCTGCCGGGGAGGAGGCTCCCTTGCTTATCTCGAGCGCTCCGGAGCTGGCGCGGAGAGTAGTGCCCCCGAGGCGGGCGGTGCGAGGTTTCCACTGTGGGGAAGAGGGAGCGGGACTTCCCGACCCGGCTACCCAGTCCACACGGAGCAGTGACAACAGCAGCAACACTTGCATCCAGATGAAGCAGTGACAACAGCAACAACACCTGCATCGACGGCTGAGCTTCAACTGAAGCTTTGCAAAGTGCTTTCATCCACAGTAATCACCACTCGGTTTACAAAGTTCACTGGCTTCTAAGGGAGGTGTCATTATCTTCATTTTACAGGAGTGGAGACTAAGGCCCAGAGGGACTGAAGGGCTTGTCAGCAGAAGCTGGTCTCCAGGTTCCAAGTGGGGACCCCAGAGAATCCCTCACCTGCTCCCACACATGGCCCAGGCACAAGGAAGTCGGGAACTGAGCGGCGGGAGGCGAGGAAGGGACCCAGGACGAGGGCGGCGGGCCGGGAGCAGGTCCGCCGGCGGGGGCGGAGCCTGGGCCGGGAGCGGCCACGCCCCCTGGACAGCCCTAGTGACATTTCAAGAGCTGATTGGGCCGGGTCGGTGACAGTTCCCGTTGCCCGGGCAACTAGGGCCGGGCTCCCTCGGTACTAGAGGGAGGCGGCAGGCCCGCGTCAGGGGCCTCGAGATCGGGCTTGGGGTAAGACTCGTGTCCCATCACCGAGGGCAGGGTGGGCCGGGGCCTAAGTAGGGGCCTGGGACTGCTTCACAGCACCAGGGCTCCAAAACAGATTTAGGTCCTGGGTGGACAGGCTGAAAGACCTGCCCAGCTAGAGTCAGTGGACAAATCCGGGCCTGGGAGGCAGGGTGAACTTGGGGTTCTAAGGTGGGAGAGGGAGCTAGAAGCATCTGCTGCCCCCCCTTCACTGGCCACTATTTCCCCCAGCTGTGCCTTAACTACCTACCATGTTGCCCCCACAGCCCAGAGCATGTTCCAGATCCCAGAGTTTGAGCCCAGTGAGCAGGAAGACTCCAGTCCTGCAGATAGGGGCCTGGGCCCCAGCCCCACAGGGGACCGGCCCCCAGGCCCTGGTAAGCACCGGCAGACGGCCCCAGGCCTCCTAGGGGAAGCTGGTCACCAGCAGGGGCAGCCGGCCAGCAGCAACCACCATGGAGGTAGGTACCCACCCCCCAACCACCTGCCTATCCACCTTGCCCCCAGCCCGGTAGCTCCCCGCATCCCAGCTGCATCCCCACTCGCTGGCTGGCTTCAAGTAAGTGCCTAACCTCTCTGCACCTCAGATTCCTCTTTTGTAAAACAGAGAAATTAATCACCACCATTGTAGGGCTGTTGGGATGATTAGCAGAGATATATAGGAAGCACTTAATTATAGTGCCAGCGCATAGTAAATGCTCAAAGAATGTAGCTGTTAGCGTAGGACCAGGACAGAAATTACCTAGAGACAGCCCGTGAGCCAGATGGGGGAAGTGACCTGCCTAAGGTCCCACTTAGTTGGCATTGCCTTTGGTAGGAAGCGGGGCTGGAAGACTCCAAGGTGCCCCACCCCAGGCTTTGCACCTTCCCTGAAATTGGACTTTAGCCCCCAGGTGTGTGCTTTCCTGCCCTGTGTCACACACCCACACTAGGGTCATCCTTGCCAGTTGCCAGGGGCAAGTGACCCCAAGGAGTCTATCCACACTCAGCGAGGGGACCCAGTGCTGAGATGGAAGGATGGGCACTGGAGAACAGCGGCCATTTCTCCCCAGCAGCCTACCTCCCAGTGCCCACCCCAGGTGTCAGCACCTGGAACAACCATAGCGATCTTCTGTAAACAGAACTCCTATCCCTAACGTCACGAAGCCGAAATGTCCCCATCGTCACGTTCAGAAACAAGAAGGCTTACGAAGTCCTGCTTCCCAGCCCGCACACACACACTTTGTCAGACTGAACTCCACAGGCTTTTAATTCCTCTACAGTCCAGATCTTTGCTCTTGCTGCTCACGGCTTTCCACCCCCCACCTCGCTGTTCCTCTTCATCCTCCGTATCAAGTGCTTAATTTGTGCCACGTGCAGCCCCAGCTGCCAGGGGTGCATCAGTGAACAAAAGAGATAAAAGTCCTTGCCCTTTGTGGTGCCTCCATTCTAGTTGAGTGGAAAGAGACAGGCTGTCAACAAACAAACAAATGGTATGATGCGTAATGGCAGCGCCAGAAACATTCTTTACTTTCTCTTTGGAATCCAGAGTTGGTGGGGGGCTGGGGGAGTGACTCTAACTGAGGTGATCAGGGTCAGCCTTGGTACGAAGCAACATTTGAGCCAAAGTTGGAAGTGGTCAGAGGTGAGGCTTGCCCCTATCTGCAGAAAAACTGATCCTGGCTGGAAAAACAGATCCTGGCCAAGGGAAGGGCAAATGCAAAGGCCCTGAGGGCAGGACACAGTCTGGGCCCCTGGGGGGAGGAGAGGTAGAAATGCAGTGAGGGATTAATGGGGGGGAGGGGCATCTGGGCAGGGCCTGGGAGGCCTGTGTCAGGAGGTTGGCTTTCACTTTGAGTGAAAACACACGGGAGGGCTTTGAGCAGAGGCAGGGCGGTCTGATTTGGGGTCAACAGTACCACCAGGGGCTCTGTTGAGACTAGCCTGCAGTGGGCAAATCAGCCCGGGGAGGGGCGGGGGGCGTGCGGTGGAGGCTGCTGCGAGAGTCCCAGTGAGGGAGGATATGATGGCTTGGGCCCGGTGGTGGCAGAGGAGATGGTACATAGCTGGGCTCTGGGTTTATTTTGAAGGTAGAACTGGCAGCATTTGCCAACAAACTGGGTGTGGGGTGTGGGGGGAAGAGAGGAGTCAGGGGTGGCTGCAAGGAATCTGGCCTGGGCACTTTGGAGGACAGAGCTGCTCTTAACTCTGACGGAACTTCGGCCAAATCAGGAGCCTGGTTTGGGCCAGGTGAGGGTAGAGGGGCCTTTTGGGCAGCCAGGTGGACATTTCCAGTAGGGTTAGGTCTAGGCGGGATTTATACACGTGGGAGGTGGGAGTTGTCAATCACTGAGGTCGTGTTCTCTGAGGCCCGGGGAGCCAGTGTAGACAGGCAGGGGCCTGGGCTGAGCCTGGGGCTTTGGCCTTCAGAGGGCAGCAGCAGAGAAGGAGCCCGCAGGGGGGACCTGGAAGGAATTACCAGCAGTATGGGAGGGAAACCAGGAGCAGGCAGGGCCCGCGCCGCAAGGGGATGCTTCTGGCTAGAGGAGGGCTGGGAGTGGAGCCCGGGAGTCGCCAACAGGGGGCCATTGCAGTTTTGGTGCGGAGGTTGAGGCTGAGCTCAGTTCAGTGGGGACGGATAACGGGAAGAGAGGTGGAGACAGAAAGGAGAGCCCACTCTTGGCAGTTGTGCTCCAGGAAGGGGAGCAGAGAAGGCCCAAGGAGGATCGAGGAAGGGTTGTTTGGTTGTTGTTTTTGGTTTTGTTTTTTTTTTAAAGGGGAAAGAAAATAGCCTGTCTGTAAGCTGATGGGAGTAATCCAGGAGCCAGGGAGCTACCAGATGAGGCAGGAGAGAAGGGAGGCTAGCTAGAGAGATGTCTTTGAGTAGGAGAGAGGGGTCTGGAGCCTGGGGAGGCCTGGCTCAGCTAAACGCGGAGCAGTGGACATGGGTGCGTGGTTGTGGGTAGATACTTCATGGGAAGTAGTAGAAGTTTCTCTTGTGGGTGCTGCCAGTTTCTCCAGAAAAGGGTTGAGGAGAGAGGATTAGGTTTGAAGTGGTCGTCCATCCTCAAGCATAGAGCATGCAAGGTGGGCTGGGCAATGTCAAGGGTGCCACTGGGTTTTATGGCCACGAATGTTTTTTTTAATTATAAACTTTTTTTCTAAAGATTTTATTTATTTATTTGAGAGTGAGTTAGAGAGAGAGAGAGCGCCTACGCGCATGAGTGGGCGGGAAGGGCAGAGGGAGAAGGAAAAGGAGCCTCCCTGCTGAGCAGGGAGCCCAATGCGGGGCTCAATCCCAGGACCCTGGGATCATGACCAGAGCCGAAGGCAGATGCTTTTTTTTTTTTTTTAAGATTTTATTTATTTATGTGAGAGATAGCACGAGAGGGAAGAGGGTCAGAGGGAGAAGCAGACTCCCTGCTGAGCAGGGAGTCCGATGTGGGACTCGATCCCAGGACTCCAGGATCATGACCTGAGCCGAAGGCAGTCGCTTAACCAACTGAGCCCACCCAGGCGCCCCCGAAGGCAGATGCTTAACCAACTGAGCTGCCCAGGAGCCCGTGGCCACAAGCTGAAACGGAGGCGGCATGGCTGTGCTTTTTCCAGCCACACTGGCTGCTGGGGGCTCGCGGGGGCCAGCGGGGAGTTGGAGTTTAACCAGAGCTGTGCCTGTCTCAGCCCAGCTGGGGAGGGGTGCTTGAGGGTACCTGCGAGGGGAGGGAATGGTTGGTGTGGTGTGTAGGCTTGCTCTGGGAGTTCTGGCGTCACTCGAGTGGGCTTCCAAGGGAGGGAGCCAGCCAGGTAGGAGCTGCGAGGCTTGGGACAGAGTTACAGAAGGTTCTGACCGGGACTGAGAGCCAGACAGGGCTGGAGAAGGAAGGGCAGGGAAGGAGAGGCTGGAAAGCAGAAGGGCAACTTGGGTCCTGGGAATGAAAAAAGACGGGGCTGGAGGAAGCTCCTGCACCAGGGGGTGTGCGGCCTGGGGGCAGAGGCACCTTCCCCAGCTCCAGACCCTTCCAGGAGGAGGGCCGGAGGGGTGAAAATAACCATCACGTGTAAGGACTGACAGGAGTTCTTAAACTTTGACTTAAGGTTTTTTTTATTTAAATTTAATTAATTAACATATAATGTATTAGTAGTTTCCGAGGTGGAGGTCAGTGATTCATCAGTTACATGTAACAGCCAGTGCTCATCCCATCACGTGCCCTCCTTA